CGTGTGTCTAGCTTCAAGTTCCTGGGGATCCACATACCCGATGACCTCTCATGGTCCAACAACACCACCAGCTTAGTAAAGAAGGCTCACCAGCGTCTCTTCTTCCTGGGGAGACTAAAGAAAGATCACCTCTCTCCTCAGATTCTGTTGAACTTTTATCACTGCACCATCGAGAGCATCCTGACCAGCTGTATCACAGCCTGGTATGGGAACTGCTCAATGCTCAACAGGAAGGCACTGCAGAGGGTGTCGAAAATCGCCCAACGCATCATCGGTGTCCCACTCCCTGCCATCGAGGACATCCAGGGGATACGGTGTCTGCAGAGGGCGCACAACATCTTTAAAGACTCCTCTCATCCTGCAAACTATCTGTTTGTCCTCCTACCCTCGGGGAGGCGCCTCAGGAGCCTCCAGTCCAAGACCAGCAAGTTCATGGACAGCTTCTTCCCCAGGGCTGTTACCCTGCTGAACTCTGCCCCCTGATAAACCCATGCCCATACCCACTACCCACCTGTTTATATCTTTTACTGTGAATACCGTTTATACTGTACATCAGGGTAGGGAATTTCACGGCGGCCATGACGGCCATGACCGTCGTTGCCCCTCGGTCTGGCCGTGAGGCCCCGAAAATAATTGTACGTCCTACGGCCACCATGGCCTTTTTGCCCCTCACACTGTTCAAATCTCGAAGTTGCTTTAAAAGCGTCAGAGCAGCGGTCTGGTCTCTGAACTGCATTATGCTGCGTTCACACGGACACGATGCGAATATTCTCATCGCTCTAATCGCTGGAGTTTCACTGCGGCTGTCAGCTGTGTTTACTCCTGTCATTCAAGCAAGAAGCGCTGGAGAGGGGGCGGGGCTTATATCCATGTTAATACTGTGGTAGAACCCAACTACAACCACATTTTTATATATCTGTTGTAATTTATTGTCTTTTATTGTGATTGTAGTAATGTGTTTTTATTACATGTACAGCACTTTGGCCCGACCAAAACTCGCTTTTAAATGTGCTTTATAAATAAAACTCGATTTGATTTGATTTGATTTGAAATTAATATATTTTACCGTGATTTAATTGTAATACACGTTTCAAAATGATGCCGAAGTAACACAATACTGATAACGGTTAGTAAAAACCATGAATTAATGCTTTGACAAGTGTGCAGACAAGACGGCAGACGAAAACCCTTTTAAAATGCGTGTTTTCTGAATGGAGATCGGATCGATCAGGATAAACTAACCTGTAGCTGCTCCGTCCACACTCACAACAACGTCCTAAAGACATAAATAAAGCAGCGACTGTATTCGCCATGAGACAGACAGTCTGTGGTTTGTACATGTTTAACTTTTGTCCAGTTTCTGAACAGATATGAGGAGCTGTGAGCTCTGAGTGCTAACAGCTAACGGCTGATGTTTGGTTTTCTGATTCAACGTCAGTGACGGCAGGCTGAGATCCTCACTGCTGATTGGCTACCGCGAGAACGCGTCAAGCAAATTTGACGCTCGAGTTTAAAACATTTATTAAAGTGACTCTCGTACACACACACACGCACACACACACACACACACACACACACACACACACACACACACACACACACACTTTTGCATTTCAAAGTATTGCTTGTTCATACAGTTGAATGTTTGAGCTTCACTGTGCACTGCTGAATGATGTATGTGCAGAGTTTGACCCTTGAAGGCTGCTTCTTCTGCTCTGAAATTGAATATATTTGTTACATATTAATAGAATCTTTGATTATTTGATTTGATTTCGGATTTGTGAATGGGAGAAGTAGTAGATGGAAAACATACCAAACACTAAGTATTCAAAGTAGAGTATTTCATTGTATGTACAGTAATACAAAGGAGGCATAGGCCTATATGATGATATAATGTTTGACATTATTGATATTAAAAAAAGCGATGTCATTCATGTGTTTTTCTTATCAGAAAGTGAAGTTATTTATTTGTAAGCTCTAAATCCTAATTTTTCCCTCAATGGCTATTTTGCACTTCTGGTCAGATGCCAAATGTTCCTTTCGTCACTAGTACCTGTAATGACAATAAAGTTGAATCTGAATCTGATAACTATTAAAGCTCCCATGTCATGCTTTTCCGGTTATTACCCGTCCCCTTGTGTGTTGTGAAGGTTTTTATGCATGTAAACGGTGTGCAGAGTCAAAACCCTCAAAGTACACCCTGTAGGGAGTAAAACTCTAACACAGAAAATACCTCCCCAAAACGCCTCGTTGGAGATACGTCACTGCCCATTTGAGTCTTCCATTTAGTTCCGGGTACGGCCTGATGTCATGCGGTACCCGGAACGAAATGGACCAATCCCGAAGAGCTATGGCCACACCCAGCGGCGCTGGCCGCACCCTCTGCCAGCCTAACATTTACTGTTGGAAGCTCTGGTTCAGTTCACAATCGATCCAGTCATGCCACAGCCAAGGACCTGTTTCCTGAAATGTGAGGAGAAATCTGAGCTGTTTGTCCTACCGACGGAAGAACCACGACGAAGTCAGTGGTTGAAATTTATTTTTAACACTGTTCCTTCAGAGGTTCGAAGAACCGGCATTTCACAGACGAAAGCTTCCAAAACATTGCCCAGTTTGAGGCCGGATATGCACAGCTTGTTTGGACCGTTTGGAGCAGGGGAAGATTCGGGTACACAACCTGTAAGTTTGCATTGTTATTTGTGTATTTATCAAACAAGACTGTTTAAATGTGTAAACTGTGTTGGACTGCTAAGCCATTGACACAGTGCTAACTGTGCTAACTAAGTTGCTAGCGTTTCCATATATCAACTCTAATATCAGCAGATGGCCTTGCATACATGTATCGCATAGCAGGAGAATGTCTGCATTCACACACGAAATACCTATTGACAGTATACTCCGGGTGATTTGCCGTGCGGTCAGTCGCGAAACGTAATTACATTATAGCTGGCGTAGCGTGTATGCTACCGATATAACCCACGGAGCTAGACCTAGGTTTGGTCGGAAAAACATTTTTGTTATGCTACGTTGCTAGCGTTTAAATATATCAACTACAATGTCAGCAGATGGCCTTACATGTTTGTCATGGCAGGAGAATGTCTGCAGTCACACACACGGAATACTCATACAGTATACTCCGGGTGATTTACCGTACATTGTGACAGTACATGTACATACTGCATGTATAGCTAACGAGGCTAGCTGTATGCTAGCGCAAAACAATGTATTCATGCAAGTTACAATGTATGACCGAACGTAGCAGAATACCCGTATACGATTGCAATTATAAACACGTTATTGCTAGCCTAATATGAACCACTAGCTTTTGTTCATAGTAGTTTTATTACACTCCATTATAGTTGCCGTTCCTCCAAGCTAACGTTCATATCGTGTTAGCTACCAAGGTAAACAAAGCTAGGTTAGCATATTAGCAGGCAAGCTGTTCATTAGATAGATCCACACTCCTACCACAACTACTACTAACGAATCTAAAACAACTAAGTTTCTCTAATATTTTGTGATTTGCATTTGATTTCGTCCAGCCAGATCCTGGCGGACAATACATGACGGGGACGGGACTACTACTACTACTGAGGCCTCGTGCTAAAAGGCAGCGGCTGCGCCCAGGCAAGATGCGGGGAGGAATGGATGATATACCGTGTGTATATATGTATATTTATGTTCATTTTGTACATTTCTAAAAATAAAGTTTAATGGAAATACTTAGTAGGCCTATCCTTTCTTCCCTGAATTATTTGCTCCTATAACATATCATTCATATATAGCAAACCATGATTTGATTTCTCATCAAACAGTAGTAGTTTATTACAGGTAAAAATAACTTACTCTTTGTTATGACCGGCTCGTAGGCCACAACGGAAAGGCAAGGAGACATACACGAGTTTACAAAACCACGGCACATTTATTGTGGTAAATGCAGAGATAGGTGGTCGGGGAGAGAATCGCCGAGCCGCTGGGCCGCTGGGATTAATAGCACCGGCTACGGAGGTGTCCGTGATCGCGCTGATTAGCCTCTTCAGCTCCACCCCACCGTAAGACCTGCAACACACCTGCACAAAGGCCCTGGGGCCGTCACATTCTTCTATAACAACAGTTGTAGGTTCAGTTCGGTTAGTTAGCGTATAAAATATCAGCTGTACCGACGCCATTATTACACTGATGTTCCCCGAAAAAAGCGGGCGGAGCCTCTCTGGTGGTTGACTAATCAGAACAGAGTGGCCGAGCTGACCAATCGGAGCACACTAGGCTCACAGGGAGGGGGGGGCAAGAGCTCCAACGAGTCGTTTAGTGGAGAGAGTGAATACTGCTGAATACACATGCTTGACAGAGATGCTGTATGCGAAACCAATGTGAGTTTGGAAAATTGCACAGTATAAATCTATTTTAGTATACCTCAACAATGTAATTATGATCAGTGGAAATGGCCATGACATGGGCCCTTTAAGATAAATAAATTGTGAGATGACAACAGATGAATGCTTCAGCTTATGGAGGCACTTAACAGAGTTCAGGCGTTTAGCAGTCTTATGGCCTGTGGGATGAAACTGTCCCTGAGTCTGGTGGTTTTTGCCCTGATGCTGCGGTACCACCTGCCAGATGGCAGCAGACAGAACATTTTGTTACTGGGGTGATGGGGGTCTTTTATATATCCACCTCCTCGGCCTGTGCCTCGAGGAATATGAGTATTAATATGGCTGGGTGGAGTGGCCTCATTTATGCTGAGCTATTCGTCATGTCTCAACCAAGTTTCAATGAGACAGCATATATCAATATTATAATCTGATATTAAATAATTTACCTATATTGCTTTAGATGCTAGAGATCTTATGTTTAAGAGTCCACATTTAATCTTCCTGTTTTGTTGCACTGTAGTAGTGGTTACATTTACTTTGATTAGATTATTATGTATGACACCTCTGATAAGTTTTACCCTAAACTTTATATTATAGATAAGGTTATGTAGTGTTATGTGAGTTTGTTACTACATATAAAACTATGTGTAAAACATTCAACAGTTACGTCCGCTGGTGACAGATGTGAGGAGTCGGACGTTTTCTCAACGTAAATCAAACACCACGAAGCCCCGGTAAAATACATTCCTTAATAATTCATAGAAACAGGTCAACAGGGAGATTCACACCTTGTGTTTCCCTCCTGTTATTCCCTCACAGAATATTAAATCATTTTTAAACAAATGTTCTATAAATCTAGAGCAGAGGTTTTCACTCTTCTCCTTCTTCATGATCTTCTTCTCCATCATCTCCCCCACCTAAAGACAAACACACACCCACAAAATGTAATGTGTATGCCATTTGAAATGTTATAAAACAAGTAGGGATGCTCCGATCGCCAATTTTGGGGCCGATCGCCGATCGCCGGAATCAGTATCGGCCGATACCGATCGCCGATCCAATCGAGTGGGCGGGGCCTAAATGGAAGATTTAAACATCACTTTAAATCTTCCATTTAAAGTGATGTTTAAAACTCAGTTAATGGGGCTCATTCACTGGAGCTTCCACAAACAACAATCAACTTAATTATTCATTCAAATTATGTATATTATTCAAGTTTACATTCACTTTGGATAATACCACGGGCGAAATGACCGGAAGCGCTCTCTTTTCCTCTCTCTCTCCCTCTCTCTCCCCCTCTCTCCCCCTCTCTCTCCCCCTCTCTCCCTCTACTGACAGCCCGTCAGTATCTCATGCAGCTCGCTGATCCAGTAATGTGTGAGGCCGACAGTGAAGAATAAACATATTTATAACTAGTTTAGCTTGTTCCAGAGGCAGATAAAATAGCTAAGTGTGTTAGGTCTAACTCTTGTGTGTTTCGCTCCGCTCACCGGTCCGTCACAGCGGGTGGAGCTGCAGGATTTCTGCTTCACACACACGTTGCATACCGCTATTTTACTGTCTTTTTCGGACACCTTAAAATAATGCCAGACCGGTGAAGCCATTTTGGCGAGCTTGTTTTGCCGCGTACAGAGAAAAGTGTCATGTATTTTACGTCATGCGATCGGCCCTCGCGATCGGCATGTTTAGAGAGCACCGATCGATCGGTAGAGAGTGAGTATCGGCAGATCTCGATCGGTGACCGATTGATCGGAGCATCCCTAAAAACAAGTGTTACGACCCCCTCCAAGGCCAACACCATTATATAGTTAGCCAAAAAAAAGTCAAAGTAGTCTAGTAGTAGAACTTGTCGGAAAAGTTTGAAAAGACTTAAAAGGTATAATAGTGCTTGAGATTACTAAGTTATACACAAATCCTAGTATAGTTTGTTATTCAAATGTAATGTTTTCATTTTCTGGATCACAGTGTCTCTGAGGTCACATGTTCACAGAAGCTCTTTTGTTTAAAGTAAGGGATGTTTTACCGGGGGAGAAGTGGATGTTCCTCAGCAGGTCAGCGAGGTCATCTGTATCGAGAACGAAGTGACTCACACTCTCAAACCGGACCTCAGGACGCTCCAAGTGAGAGGCTGTCACCGCCATCCTGACACACACACACACACACACACACACACACACACACACACACACACACACACACACACACACACACACACACACACACACACACACACACACACACACACACACACACACACACACACACACACACACACACACACACACACACACACACACACACACACACACACACACACACACATTATTATTACATCTGCCCAGATCCCTACATGCAGAATCAGAGCTTCGTCACAAACTTGACTTACTTTTCTAGAATGACTTTGGCGCTCTGTGTGAGAGAAGAAGAGAGACAGAAAGAGACAATTAATCCCACTATGCTTCAGACTAGTTCTTAGACATTTCATGGGTGATAATACAACAAATAACGTTATTACATTTTAAGAAATACTTCCTGGTGTTTACTGCCTGCTACCACTAACTCAACCTCCTTTAACACCTGCTTTAAAGAGGAGGTGAGGCACACACACACACACACACGCACACACACACACACACACACACACACACACACACACACACACACACACACACACACACACACACACACACACACACACACACACACACACACACACACACACACACACACACACACACACACACACACACACACACCATAGAGTATCAAACACACACACACACACACACACACACACTCACCATAGAGTATCAAACACACACACACACACCTACCTAGAGTATCACCCCCCCCACACACACACACACACACACACACACACACACACACACACACACACACACACACACACACACACACACACACACACACACACACACACACACACACACACACACACACACACACACACACACACACACACACACACACACACACACACACACACACACACACACACACACACACACACACACACACACACACACACACACACACACACACACACACACACACACACACACACACACCATAGAGTATCAAACACACACACACACACACACACACACACACTCACCATAGAGTATCAAACACACACACACACACCTACCTAGAGTATCACCCCCCCCACACACACACACACACACACACACACACACACACACACACACACACACACACACACACACACACACACCATAGAGTATCTCTTTCACACACACACACACACACACACACACACACACACACACACACACACACACACACACACACACACACACACACACACACACACACACACACACACACACACACACACACACACACACACACACACCTGTATGAAAAGAGGCATGTGTGGCTCCTCCATTGATTGGATGGCGGTCTCCAGCAGAGCGACGGCGGCCTCCAGCTGCTCGCTGTGTCGACCAATCAGAGAGCGGACGCGCCTCAGTGTGTCGTCATGATGTTTGGAGATCAGACCCACCAGATCCTGCTTCCTCTCGTCCAGGATGTTCACCAGAGCCTCGAAACGCTCCTCCAGATGTTCCCTCTGACGCTCACCGTTCTCCTGAGGCGAGGAAGAACACACTTTATTATTAATTAATACAATTATAAACTATGGTTTTTCATAACAACCTGTTCGTCTGCTTACACACTCATTATAAAACTACTTTAAGCATGCACTGCACATCTCTTTTATGAGATAATATACAATAAAACACATTTTAATCTAGAGTTGGAAAAGGGTCAATATAAAAGTGCAAATATAAAAACCAAAATAAAAGACAGTAAGGTGCAAAGCAAAAATCAAGTTCAATCTGTATACTTTATAAGCTTTATAGACCTACTTTAGGTTTGTACACTCCTATTTTAAGATAATGTAAGATAAAACTTGTATTATTAAAGATATAATTGTTGAATATAGGATTTTTAGAATAATAACTATTTCACAGTGATTTTGCATAATTTCTTCTCACATCAATAAAAATTCTAACAAAAAAGTGTATGTTATCAAAACAGCTGGATGTGTGTGTAAGCGTGCGTGTGTGTGTGTGTGTGTGTGTGTGTGTGTGTGTGTGTGCGTGCGTGCGTGCGTGCGTGCGTGCGTGCGTGCGTGTCTGTGTGACCTCCACACAGCAGCACATCTCTTCCATCTCAGAGATGCGAGTCTGGATGTGGTCGTTGTTGGCCACCAACATGGCGATGCTGTCGCTCAGGTCCGTCTGCAAACATCCACAACATCACAGACATATAATCAACATTCCTCTGAAAATAAATGAATATTAACAACATGTGTGAGTTAATATTTCCTTTAAATGTAATGTAAATGATAAGATGTTTTGCGTTGATCAATAAATGGCATTAGCCGCGTTCACACCGGAGTACTTTTCACCGTACTTTTCGCGTTTAGTTCCGTTAGTACCCCTTATGTCGCGTTCACACCACAAAGAGCACTTCATCTCGGGAACTTTTACCCCCATTTTTAGTGCCTGCTGAGAGATGCTACTTTCCTGGGGGAAAAAAGTGCCCCAGTTCTGATTGGCTGGGCGAATTGCAAAACCACGCGCCGTAAAACTCTGAAATGTTTTGTAGAGCCACCATTTTATTATCCTTCCTCGCATTAGCATTATTAGCATTAGCATTCGCCCAGTGCACAAACGCAGAGAGACTAACTTATGGCAACACAAAATAAAACATGGGAGAGGTGGAGAGGTGGAGATGAGGAGGTGTCGGCGTTCTGGCGATTTACTCTGAAGGCTTCAGTAGAAGCTGCTGGGAGTCCCAGCAGCTTCTACTGAAGCCAGTCCCCAACTCCGGGGACTTCCGGCCGGGGACTTCGGGTGGCAGTATACGCCGTGAAGTTGCCAGTAAACCCAAAGCAGAAGAAGACGAAGTGACGTCAGCGGCTCATTTGCGTAATCTTCCCTCAGGGAAAAGTACTCTGGTGTGAACGCGATCTGTACTAAATGCCCTGGGGTAATAAGTGCCGGCACTAAATACGGCAAAGTACTTGGTGTGAACGCACCTATTGAGTGCATTTTGTCTTCACATTTATGGATGTCTTTTCTTTGAGTCGTGTTGGTGAAATGTGATTAATAAAACCTTTTCCCTTATCCAAATCATCTTTTCCACACATTTTAATTGTAAAATCTCCCATATACTTAATGAAATGGTACCCTGGATTCCTGATAGGTCGCAGCAGCAGTTTCTCTTTCAGAAATGAGCGGTAATTTAATCTCCCTCCTTAAGCAAATTCCTAATATTACTGGACATTTTGGGTTTTTATTCACAAATCAAGACAGCCTTCGACCAATCAGACTCCTTGACTATATATATATTTCTTTGCAGATTCAGAAATGTTTTCTCTTTTAAACACACAAATGTAGAAGAATTCGTGCAGTATTGGCAGAGGAATGCACCATAAGTACTTTCTAAAGAGTAACCCTAAAACACAATAGCATGCATCTGTTAGGAGAATTATTTTAATACTTTGTTTGAACTTTAGCGTCATTAAAAGTGTCAGGAACAGACGTACTAATTTAATCGTTTATTTAGCAGGGACAATGCACGGTAATGAACACTACAACATTAAAATGCGTCAAGCGTAACAGTGCCAGATTTAGCTTTGAGCTAGTTTCCATCCGCATCCTCTCTGCAGGCCGAAATTAAATTAGAGCAGCAACTTTTGTTTTCCACATTAACCTTTGCATGAAGATGGAGGGTGAATCTCAGATGAGTGAATCAGAGACAGAGTGAGAGATCGAGAGGCCGACTGCTCCATAACAAACATGCTGCTGACGCTGCTTCACTAAACCGCTGCACTCTGTCTCTGTGCGACCAATAATCAGTAAGTAATGTGGTATATTTCATGCATAAGTTATTAAAACAAATGTCTGGTATCTCCATGAATGCCCTTTAAGGCGTGTGCTGTTTCCAGTGTTTACAGACAGTATTTATTTGCAGTGGATCAAAGTACCTATAGTTCATTTATTCAAGTATCATTTTAAAGGGGACCTATCATGCAAAATGCACTTTTGTACGTCTTTTATACATGAATATGTGTCCCCGGTGTTCCAGGGAACTCACCAAGTGTCAGAAAACACAACCCTCTCTATTTTCCTCCATACCCAAATCTCTAAAAAAGGGGCTGCAACGGATCTGATAAAAACTGATCCAGATTTGAACACTGTCCTGACGTCAGGACGGTGGCGCTACGGCTATTGGGCCAACTCCACCAATCAGGAGGAGACAGCCACGGCCATTGCCGTTCGAAAGCGCTGGAGACGCTGTAGTACATATGCCAGGCCTGTAGATGGTGCTGTTCTCACAGAATCAGCCCTTGCAAAAACAGGGGTAAAAAAGTGCAAATTGAGCGAAATGAGGCATGGCTAAAATGCATGATCTGTTTGGTATTTTGAAAAAAAAAAAGTATAAATATGCCTTATATAGGTATGGTCCTACACTATATTATTCAAATATAGCATGATAGGTCCACTTTAAAGGTAGGATAGGTAATTCACTTCAGAAACACGTTTTGTTAAATTCCATGGAATGCTCTTAACATCCCGATAGCAATGAATATATTAAATGCTTCGACAATAAATACATAAAAAAATGTCATCTGTAGAAGCCGTAGTACTGTAAAAAGCACGACCAATCATCTGAGCCGGCCCGGCTAAAATAACTGGATGGCCTACCTGCCTGTCAGCCTTCCATCTCGTGCACAAACTTATCTCGTGCCCTCATTGGTCATGTGCGCGTTCGTGTGTGTTGGAGGAGGGGCTCTGTAAGGAAGTCTGAAGGAAGAGGCAGATTTGTTTCGGCTGCGTACTTTCAAATTCTAGCGCACTCGAGCTGGTTCCTCCATTCTTACCTACCCTACCTTTAAGTTAGATTTTATATGCAGGATTTTTTACATTCATGTATTAGAACAAATGGATACTTCTTCCACCACTGTTTATCTGCTTGCATTTGCACTGGGTGTAAGTCAAAGTGCATCCTGGGAAATGAAGTTTTAAAAATAGAAACAAAGGAAAGCATGTAAGATAGATAGATAGAATGGGAGGGATGAAACCCCCTTTAATGGTCTCACATGCAGAGCACACAGCACACAGTGACATGTGTTCTCTGCTTTGAACCCATCCTAGTAGGAGTCTAGTACTAGGAGCAGTGGGCAGCTATTGCACAGCGCCCGGGGAGCAATGGGAGTGAGGGGGGAAGGAGGATGTCTGGTGCCTTGCTCAAGGGCACCACGGCAGGGCAGGAGGTGAACTGGAACCTCTCCAAGTAGCAGTCCACACTCCATATTTTAGGTCTGTTCGGGGACTTGAACCGGCGACCCTACAGCTCCCAGTCCAAGCCCCTACTGACTGAGCCACTGCCCGACTAAACCCCAGATAAAGGCCATCATCTGTTTTAGAAAGTCAAATGAACATCTAACAGTGTTTACACAACTTCGAAATGTAAGGTTTAAAGTTAAGGTTACTATTTTCATCCTTAAATTCTGAATGGAAGTCATTTGGAGTGATACGATGAGACGTGGAGAATAAAGAGAAGCGTATTAAAGATTGTGAAGCTGTGAGTGACTGGTTATAAAATGACATGGCAATATTACATTGTTTAATTTCATATTCTGTTCTTGTACATATCATATTCTATTGACATGTATATGGACTTTTTGCACTACTTTGTATTTTGTATTTTATTCTATATGTTGCATTGTTGGAGGAGCTCAGGTCAGAAGAATTTAATTGCCATTTCTACACAGTAGCTTTGATTCTTTTGAAACATGTAGTCATGATAAAAGCTTACCTTCTGCCTCAGGTAGACGCTGCTGAGCGGAGCCACGTCACACGCTTTGTGTTTCCCGAACACTTTGCACATGGAGCAGGTGGGCGTCTCACAGGAGAGGCAGTAGATGTTGATCCTCTCCTCTTCGTGATCCTCACACACGAGCTGCTGCTGCTGCTCAGGCTTCATGGGGACAGGCCTGGGACAGACACAAGAAGATCAAAAGGATAGACATAAATCATCTAACTTTCATGCATACTCTTTTACATGTATATTGAATCAATACATTAGGTACAAAAATCAAATAAAAATACCGTAAATGTATACGTATATGCATGTAAAAAATCATAATATGCCGTATATACAATATATACATGGGTTAATAATACAAATAAATAAATACAATACAAATATACCATTAATATTTACATATATATGCAAGTTCATAAATAAAACTGAATAAAGAAATAAAAAATATACTAGAAATACAAAAAATATAATATATACTAGAACAAATATGTATAAAAGAAAGATATTTATGTGAAGAAGGCACAATTTAAAATACAAAGGCGAACACACTATAATATACCAAACTATTACAACTTAAATATTAACGTTGGACACAATAAACATAGGACAAGTGTGCAAAGTAGATACGGTTTTGTATATTTAAATACAGTGAGTTAGAGTATGAATTTAACATGTGCTAATGCAGGAAATACTTCCTTTACTTGTTTCCTTGTGACAGCAGAAACTGGCTCAGAACACCTCCTAAATCTCCCTCTAGTGACTTCACATGGACACCACAGAACCATAGGAATAGAGGCTCCATTGCGCTCTGACGTCGGTGTCCCTGACAGAAAGGATGATTAAGTCACGAGGAATCTTTTTACGCACGAAACTACAAAACACTTGAGAACAATCACATCTATTTTAGCCCACACAGATAGTGAGGGTCCTTCTGTCCTTCTGTCCTTGTGTCCTTCTGTCCTCCTGTCCTTCTGCCTTCTGTCATTCTGCTTTCTGTCCTCCTGTCCTTGTGTCCTTCTGTCCTCCTGTCCTTCTGTCCTCCTGTCCTTGTGTCCTTCTGTCCTCCTTTCCTTCTGTCCTCCTGTCCTTCTGCCTTCTGTCATTCTGCTTTCTGTCCTCCTGTCCTTGTGTCCTTCTGTCCTCCTGTCCTTCTGTCCTCCTGTCCTTGTGTCCTTCTGTCCTCCTTTCCTTCTGTCCTCCGGTTCTTCTGTCCTTCTTCCTTCTCATTCTGTCCTCCTGTCCACCTGTCTTTCTGTCCTCCTGTCCTTCTGTCCTCCTTCCTTCTGTCCTTCTGTCTTCCTGTCCTCCTATCCTTCTGTCCTCCTGTCCTTATGTCCTTCTGTCCTCCTGTCCTTCTCTCTTTCTGTCCTCCTGTCCTTCTGTCCTTCTTCCTTCTGTCCTTCTGTCCTCCTATCCTTCTGTCCTCCTGTCCTTATGTCCTTCTGTCCTCCTGTCCTTCTGTCCTCCTGTCCTCCTGTCATTCTCTCCTCCTGTCCTCCTATCCTTCTGTCCTCCTGTCCTTCTCTCCTTCTGTCCTTTTGTCCTTCTGTCCTTCTGTCCTTCTGTCCTTCTGTCCTTCTCTCCCTCTGTCCTTCTGTCCCTCTGTCCTTCTCTCCTTCTGTCCTTCTGTCCTCCTGTCCTTGTGTCCTTGAGTCCTTGTGTCCTTCTCTCCTTCTGTCTTCCCGTCCTTCTGTCTCTGCCAGCACTGACTCAGTGAGCGTCTATTTTAGAGTGAGGACGATTTAAATATCAGAGCACAGTTGTAGTGAGAGTGGACGATTATAAAACAGGCAGATGGACTGAAGAGGATTCTACTTGCATACAGAAGATAGCAACACACTTCAGACGACATCATGTAGTCAAGCATCAGCCAGATACAAAAAGAAGTGAACAAAGCTTTGACCAAAGGTATGCCAACTGTAACACCTGCTGACATTGCAATGTAGGCCAAATCCCTGCAGAACAAACACAAAGGTCACAGAAGAAAGCCTCATCATACAAGTAACCCTTATAATGTCATTAAGAAGTTTAACATCTGGCATTAGATACATTGTGTATCAATAAGCGTGCGTCCATCTATTTGGCAACTGTGGCTGCGAGGGAGTGCGGTCGTCTTTCCACCAGAAGGTTGTTGGTTCGATCCCAGCCCGCGCAGTCAACATGTCGATGTGTCCTTGGGCAAGATACTGAACCCTGAGTTAGACTGGTGTGTGTGTGTGTGTGTGTGTGTGTGTGTGTGTGTGTGTGTGTGTGTGTGTGTGTGTGTGTGTGTGTGTGTGTGTGTGTGAGCTTCCCTAGATCAAGTGGTGCTGCTCTGCATGAATGGGTGAATGACTCGTAGTAGTGGTCGAAAAGACCTGATAAAGCGCTGTATAACTACAGTCCATTTGTCAATTAAGTTTTGTATGCATGCAAAACCTTTGACACCTTACATGTTATTCTGATTTTCTTCTACTTCATGATTTGTTTTCCTTGCAGTGTCTAAAACATTCCACTGTGGAGTCAACCTGTGACTGATGCTGGATTCAATCTCTTACAGCAACACGACTTGAAGCATATAAAAAAAGACCTTTCAAAAAGCGTGTTGTCAGTGCTGACAACATGCACTGATAATGTGTTGGGAACATTTATTCATGTCATGTTATTTTTATAATTTCAGTCCTGAAACATGTAATTATCCTGGTTCGCCCATGTGGAATTTTTTATTATTAAAGTGAATAAACATGAGTAAAAGAACCATGAATTCAAATTCTCACAAATGACATCCTGTTTCTTCTCTTCAAACCTACTGTACGTTTAATCAGCCAGAAAACCTACTCCAATAATAACACATCTCCTCTGCATCACTGTCAGAGAGAGTGTGTATTCTCATACACTGCTGCTCTCTGTCGGTGTTCCTCCATGATTACAATAACATCAGAGTGACTTCAGACTCTATATAAAGACCTCAGTCTGTTTGGGAGATGTGACGCACCACTGAACAACAACTGAACAAGTAGTTGGTTTAAGGGACATTAAAAATGTTAATGTTTGAAAATAATGCTTACATTTCATCTTATGGTCTTGCTGATTGTTAGAAAATACTGTATATTGATAGAATGTTGTTATATCTGTTTAAACTTACATTGAAGTGTTTTACAAACCATTAAATACAAGTTTATACATTACTTATAAATGTTAAAGTGGACCTATCATGCTATATTTGAATAATATAGTGTAGGACCATACCTACCTATAAGGCATATTTATACTTTTTTTTTTCAAAATATCAAACAGATCATGCATTTTAGCCATGCCTCATTTTGCTCAATTTGACAATTTCTAGCTCTGGGCAGATTCTGTGAGAACAGCACCACCTACAGGCCTGGCATATGTACTACAGCGTCTCCAGCGCTTTCGAACGGCAATGGCCGTGGCTGTCTCCTCCTGATTGGTGGAGTTGGCCCAATAGCCGTAGCGCCACCGTCCTGACGTCAGGACAGTGTTCAAATCTGGATCAGTTTTTATCAGATCCGTTGCAGCCCCTTTTTTAGAGATTTGGGTATGGAGGAAAATAGAGAGGGTTGTGTTTTCTGACACTTGGTGAGTTCCCTGGAACACCGGGGACACATATTCATGTATAAAAGACGTACAAAAGTGCATTTTGCATGATAGGTCCCCTTTAAATGAAGGGGTGACAGTAAGTTCTGCAAACTTACACACACAGATAATAACGACACATACAAAAAATACACATAGACACACACCACACACTTAATAAGATAACACACACATACACACACACACACGCGCACACACACACACACACGCACGCACGCACGCACGCACGCACACACACACACACACACACACACACACACACACACACACACACACACACGCACGCACGCACGCACACACACACACACACACACACACACACACACACACACACACACACACACACACACACACACACACACACACACACACACACACACACACACACACACACACACACACACACACACACACACACACACCTGCTGGCCTCCTGCTGTCTGTACAGGTCCAGGATGTTCTCCACCAGCAGGTTCCTCTGCAGACCGTACACCCCGTGCCGGTCCAGCAGAACCTCCTGTCTGCAGGACGGGCAGCGGAACCGAGAGCCGATGGAGGAGGATGAGGAGGATGAGGAGGATGAGGAGGAGGAGGAAGAGCGGGACTGCCAGAGGGGGTTAGAGGACTGGAGGAAGAGAGAAGGATTGAAGGATTCAAAGCTTTGTTGTCATATGCACAATACAATGTATGCATGTATGTACTTCATTTGATGTTCTTGTACTTCACCTGATTATTTTAATGTTAAGTTCTTTTATACTTCTACTCCAATACATTTTGGAAGCAATGCATCAGTAATCACAATCCAGTATTGTTATATGTTATTCTGAAATGGGAAGTACTTTTACTTTTGGTACTTCATGTGGATGCCAATATCTGTGTACTTTTACTTAAGTTATATTTTAAGTGCTACACTTTTACTTTTAAAAGTGAATATTTTTACATGTTAGACACACTATAAAAAAATAACATTTGACATGTATTTGAAATAGTGTCGGCATTTGTTGGAATGATGGAGGATGTGAGAAATGATGGAGGATCATGAAAACCTTGCACATTCTTCTGTATATGTTGCACATTTGTCTTTTAATAATGCACGGCTCTTCAACTTTAAATTAGTAAATAATCCTATTTTCTCATACTTACTTTTTTATATGGTTGTATTTCTTGTAAACATTTCTTAATGTCGTAGTAGTCCTTTATTTGCTTCTTTTTACAATTAAATCCCTCTATTGCAGGGGTGTCAAACTCAAATACACAGTGGGCCAAAATAAAAAAATGGGTACTAGTCGAGGGCGGGACTGGTTCAATGTTTATAGCAAAACTTATTGAAATGAACTTATTGCACATATTAAACCTGGAACTAACAAAGCTTAAATTATTGCCTATAAAAACAACATTAAACATTAAATAATCAGTTGCATTCATTTCTTATGGCTCGATCTGCAGCTTTTCCAGAGTCATTTCTTATGATTACATTTTTCCACAGGCCAACAACAGCTTCAACAAAACTATTTCCCTCAAAGAAAAAACCAAACATGCCCTGTTGTCGTGAGAGAAAACGTGCAGAAGGAAACATCCATGTAAACTCAGTGTGCTGCTCTGTGATGCTAGCTCAGATACTTGGCATCTCATCTTGGGTGCAAGTTCATCAATGTTTGGGGTCAGGCTCTGAGCTGAGGAGACCCTCAGGATTGAGTGAAGGTGTGCGTGCAATATACCGGAGGGCCAGATCTAATAGTAACTAGAAATTATCCTGCGGGCCGAAATTAAATCCACCAAGGGCCTGATTTGGCCCCCGGGCCTTGAGTTTGACACATGTGCTCTATTGTATGCACCATTAGTCAAAAGTGTACAGATAGAGAGATCAAAATACCGTTTCCCACAATCCCGAATACAAAAATATATAAAAATATGTATAAAATATGTATATCCTATATATAAACAATCAACAGACACATTTATACATCATACATCATTATACATATACATTAAACATCAAAGTAAAGTACTTGGCAATAAAACTGATTCCGATTCTGAAAGTAAATAAATGACTCAATAAATAACTAAAAACCTGTGAAATGAACACCGGTGAACTCCTATGAGACGGACTCACCTGGAACATGTCGTTGGCACACTTCCTGCAGAGGTTGTGCTGGCAGGGCAGGATGACCACAGGTTTGGAGAACATCTCCAGACACACGGGGCAGATCAGCTGCTTCTCCAGGTTCTCCATGACGGTTCCACGTCCAGATCCACGTCCAGAACCAGGTCCAGATCTGCCCTCTGATGGAGGCCTGAGGACGAAGTTCATCCCCTCCAGGAACCAGGGAGTCAAATCCAAGAGAGTAACAAGAAGGGGAGGTGAATTCTAAGGGGATAGTTGAGATTTTAGGGGTGTTTTTTGTCGTATTTCGTCTCTGTCTTCTCTTTTGGATCTTTCTCCAGCTGTCTAACCCTGTCTACCCATTTGAAGACCCTCCCATGCCCCCTGCCTCCGTCCCACAGCAGCCCCACTGTTGCCTGTTGGTATTTTTAGCTCCTGGGTTTGTTCTGGCTTGGGTTACTGTCTAAACTCAGGGCGTGGTGCAGGATCAGGACGAGGGTCATCACCAGGGTTCAAATGATGAAGTCTGTATGAAGTCTGATCCCTCAGAGGGGGTCCGGGGGACATAGTGAAGCCTCTGGTCGCCATGTTGGAGGTCATTATCACTTCTGGATAAACACATCGCTCCATTTCTAGACTTAGACGTCCGTTTGTCACAGTTTACGCAGAGATTTTGAGGAAGAATGTATTGGTTTTGTGTTGTTTAGCAAGGAGTGTGTCCAAGTTGCCAGGATCCTACCATGCTGTATGTTCCCAGGTAAATGTCTTATCAATATTACACATTAAAGAGAGCTCTCAAATACCTTGAATTCTTAGTACTTGTTATTTTATTTTTCCCAGTGTCAAAAATATTCAATATATGTTTGTACATGTCTGAGAGAGAATCATCTGGTATCTCAAATAAATACAATAAATAAATAATAAAATAAATAAAAAAGTAATTATAATACATTTAAAATATAAAAAAGTAATAAGCAAAATAAAATAAAAAGTGAAAAAAGATATAAATATAAATATAATAATACATTTAAAAAATCCTTTTACGGAGTAGTTGACTTTTAGTAGATATTACATATATGTGTAGATATTTGAAGGCAACTGTATATTGATTTATGCTTAAATAATTACATTTGTTTGTGTTTTTGCCTACTACAACCTGGGTCTGACTTTCAAGTACTTACGTACAATTTTGAGGTACTTGTACACAACTTGAATAATGTATTTTTAACCTTAACCCTACCTGTTTCTCACCTTTAATTCACTACAATTAAAAAGCAAACATAACACTTTGTACCTTTAATAACCCACTCATACGTGATGAGTGATTGGTTAAGTCATAGAGCCAGAAGCAGCAGCGTGGAAAAAGATATAAATAAAGTTAGAAATGTGATCCTCATATAAAGCTGAATGGGAATCCTGAACAAACACAGCTTGTGGAAACATTTCACAAACCTTTATCTGAATCAAGCACGCCATCTACAGGCATACATAGTTTTCAAAGCATTAGGAAAACAATGTTTTTATACTGAATGTCTTTGAAGTTCAGAAATGTTGGTCTCAGTAGTTTTTTGGGGTGAATTTAGAGATTTTAACGACCTGACAAGAGGCTTTTCCTCCACAACTACAGACACAAAATAAATGGTGGATCTTTCTGGAATGCCAATTGAAAAACCTGCACGACTGTTTATTTGTTGTCCTGTTCTTTTCTTGTGTTGCATACATGGACTAAACACTTGCGCTTTGTTGTGCAATCCTGTTCTGCAGAATGACGATAAATGATCCTCAAATGGTGGATTCATCAGTAAACCTGATGTGATGCAGTGTTAGATTTAAAAGTAACATATCAGGAAGCTGCTTTTTTACACTGCAATCTCATAATGGAAATAGCTACGTATGCATATTTTGAAATGTTATTTTCTTAACAAAAGTGTTGATGGTTAATAAAAGGAGTTTGAATGATGTGCATGGAGTTGCACTGGAGACTAGCAGTTTTTTTCTCTCCATATTGTTTTAATCCATTTATTATGTTTGTTTTTAAATAATACTTGATTTTAGTCATTTGAAGTGCTGCCATGTGGGATTTCTTGTGTGATGCTACTCCTTAGTTGTTTCAAAATCCATCCTATGCAGGTTCTTAACCGTGTTATTTTGATCCTCAACATTAAAGTCTATTTGCCAGAGTCCTCAAGTGAACCCGGAAATGTTGAGTACCCCAACGTTTTTTGATAGAAATGTACAGTATGGGTCCCCAGCACATAGAAACTGCCGGATGCTAACTTGCATATGTTGGGAAATTTGCAAATGTAGCATAAGTTGCATATGCAGACAATAGCTAAAAATGGGCTTGGCCGATTTGGAACATTTTGGAGTGGTTTTGAGGGTTATTGAGGATGTTGAATCCAGTTCTGACATTTTCAGGCTTAGAAAATTGCAGTATTAACCAGAAAGTGGTCATATTTGTACTCGGTGGGCGGATTTGATGAATTTTGGGTAGATTTTTTTTAATTAGGGGACTCAAAACTGCTATTTTGATCCTAAAAATGTCAGAAATTGATCCTAAATAACATCCAAAACCAGACCAAAATTGTCCAAATCGACCAAGCCATTTTTGCAATTGTCTGCATGCTAATTAATGCAACTTATGCTAATTGTGCAAATTGCCCGACATATGCAAGTAAGCATCTGTCAGTTTCTATGTGCTGTGAACCCGTTCTATACCTTCCTTGATTCCTATCATAACACTTTGGGGTACTAACCCTAAACTTGTCCCCCCATCCCCCCCCCCCCCCCCCCCCCCCCCCCCCGCCCTCTGACCCCCAGCAGCTTCCTGATAGGACAGGAGATGGCAGTGAGGACAGCGAGCGAACAAACACACACAAGGTATTTTCTAATCCGGAGAATGGAGTCGGCTAAATAGACTAAGCTATTAATGGGATTACACGACTATTTATAGGCTGGGAGTGGAGCGCTGCTGCAGAGGAAGCTAAACATACAAACAAACACACAGCAGCTACTCATCCTGCAGCTCTGCTCACAGCTTCTGGGTGGAAATGTAATCTAGAGTTAAAAAAACAAACAATATTTGCTTGCAAAATGTAGAAGTGTAGAAATAGAAAGCAGCATTACAGGAACAATTATCAGTTAAAGTCCAAGGAGCTAAAAATTGCATTTAGGGTACAATCTTATTGATAAAAATCAATCTATACTATATGCATATCATAATAAAAACATTATAAACATACAATTATATCAACACACACATGCATTTAGGTTTATTTGGACTCACTCCCACTTACACTGTGCTGCAGCTGCTCAGAATGTGGATACATCCGCCGCTGAAAATAGTCCCTATCAAATTCACTCCTGTGTGATTTTTCTATTTATGTTTCTTTCACCTTTTTCATTTTGCCCTATGACAACTCTAAGCCATTTCACACGAGTGTATGCTCTTAGTTAATGATAGTGTTATTGTGTATACTCAAATGCTTTATGGATGTGTGTGTGTGTGTGTGTGTGTGTGTGTGTGTGTGTGTTTGCGTCTTATGACTATAACTAATCCATTATACGTGAGTAACAGACGGGTGTTTGTGGGATGCATTGTTGTGATTGATGGATACAAACAAATTGTGTTTGTGCTACATTACTGTAATTAGTTCCTGTTATATGGTGCATGGAGAATTATAATTGTCAAGCCCATGGAGGGTTTAAGAGCAATTCTTCTTCACATATTATATATTGTATCAAAAGTGTAAATAACAAAAACAAAACAAACAAAAACACAATTTTGTTTCGCTGTTTGTTAAAAAAGTTCAATGGCTGTGCATTTCAGGACGTTACTGACACTGTTAAAACAAACGTAACTACATATTTGTCTCCAAACGGACAAACATATTGCAGCTTTTGGTCTTTTCATTGACATTTCCGACCATAAAACATCAAAGTTTTCCTTCAATCTTTAAAAGTGAATGCATTAAAACATGATTATGCTCATCCAGCGGCATCGAGCATGTTGCAAATTGTTCCAATAAAACACAAACGCAGAGACAGGAAGTTATAAAATCCCCCTTTTTTTTATTTGGTTGAATTTCATAACAACTCATTTACAGATCGTCCACAGGGAACCACGACGATGACTGGAATACTAACTAAAATAGTCTTTGTCATGTTGCTCTCTACTCAATTTCATCCAGTAATGAGAACACAGATCATCAAAATCATCCACCTGCCCATGGAAGAGCGTTAGCTTCATGCTAACCGTTAATAGCATGGTGTTGCTATCGGGTTAGCACGAAGAATTTAAGCCAGTATTTTAAAGTCGACACACAAATGACTTTAGAGACGGTGATCATCATTTAACACCAACGTTGAGCAACATGTCGAAAGCGCTCATCATAGCCAATTTTTTAGTAATATTACATTTAAATAAGGTATTTCTACAACGGCGTATTAGGGCCATTGAAAGTTAAGAATAATAGTTACTGAGCCGAGGAAGGGGGCTAATGTTATGCTAATTATTTACATTAAAGGTGGGGTAGGTAATTCACTTCAGAAACACTTTTTGTTATATTCCATGGAATGCTCTTAACATCCCGATAGCAATGAATACATTAAATGCTTTGACAATAAATACATTAAAAAAATTCATCTGTGGAAGCCGTGGCGCTGTAAAAAGCACGACCAATCATCTGAGCCGGCCCGGCTAAAATAACTGGATGTCCTACCTGCCTGTCAGCCTTCCATCTGTGCACAAACTTATCTCGTGCCCTCATTGGTCATGTGCGCGTTCGTGTGTGTTGGAGGAGGGGCTCTATAAGGAAGTCTGAAGGAAGGGGCAGATCTTTTTCGGCTGCGTAGTTTCAAATTCTAGCGCACTCGAGCTGGTTTCTCCATTCTTACCTACCCTACCTTTAATGTAATACATTTATGAGAAAAACACTTTGATATTCTCGAAGATGTAAGTGGTGAATTGCAGAGAAACAATCAAATAAGTAGGACAAAAGCTAAATATTCAATTGTATTTTAAAACCGAAAATGGTTAAATAAAGTATTTCTGATTCTGATATTCTCTCAGATTAAAAACTCACAAGATTAGAAGTTCAATTTGATTAAAACGGATAACATTTTCACATTTCCGCAATTTTTGTTGTGGAAAAGTAAGCACCTGACTTTCACTCAGTTTTTACTTAATATGTTGCCCCTCTGCTCCAGCACTGTATTTCTTTCTACCCATAATGGCCTTAATACGGCGTTGTATATTCCTATGTTACACGTAAACATGAAAAATGTATGTACACTGTTAAAACAGACAACAATTCATCAAACAAGTCCATTAACGACGAGGAATATTGTCACTTGCTTTGCCGTCTTAGGAGTTATTTACAACAATTACAAAAATAATAAATAATATGTCTTCTTGCATTCCTCCGTGAACTCACAGCTTTTACAGCTCAAGTGATTTGACAAGATTTGAAGAAAGACAGAAAAATAATTATTCCTGAAATGTTACGGGACGCTTAGAGTTATAATACTTAATGTTTTAGACGTTAGAAAACTGAAATAATGACCTTTCAGTCTGCGGACAGTTCCTCTGAAGCTGATATGTAATCCTTCAAAGTCAAATCCAAAATTAAGAGAGATGGAGGTATTTCTTTTTTATAGCTGGTTTATGATCAGTTTGTTATTCTCAGATTGGAGCGATGAGCTTGTTTGTTGGTCCTTTACATAGGTCTACTTTACCTCATTGCATTTCACCAGGCAATAATATTAATAATAAAGAATTTCAAGCAGCTGAGAGATGACTTTAGCTTAAGCTACACAGGTTAAAAGCAAAGGAACGCCTTTTAAATGTCACCCTGCCACATGAAAAGGACAATATTCGTTATAAAAATGTAAAATAACTCGCCTACAATTAACACTACTCGGCACTATACAATAATTTCCAGCAGCACATGGAGCGATTCACACAAAGATAACAGTCTTTAAAAGGTTTGCATTGGCCATTTTTCAAACATTTGATGACATTGTACAGACAAATAAAGAAAATAAAGGTTAGCTAGAGCATTTACAGAGGATACGGCTTTTTAAAAAGTACCTGTGAGTGATGTGCAAATGCTTTTTAATTAGTAGACCAGGATCCAAAGGGAATATGCGAAAGACCAGAGATTTACATTTTGAGCGGATGTACCAAGTGAGCAGAAATGTGTGTTTTTGAGTCAGATCACCGACATCTCACAGATCCAGATTCACTTAAAGTTTGCAACAGAAAGGAAACAACCAAACACTAGAAATGGAAAGCTAGGGTTAAAAGTACCTGTATGTAAATGTGATTATGTTACGCTCTACTTACAGGGAATTCAAGCTATTAGACACCAAAATGACATCAAAAATGTTCTGCTCAGTCACTGCTGTTTATAGTTCAAGGCGCATCACTGTCAATTAGACAGGAAGCCGGGGGGGGAGATTTATGCAGAACTTAAAGAGGACTTATTCTAAAGCTCCTTACACACCCAACTGACACCAAAGAACACGTCCAGACGGAACGTCGGCTCACGTCTCCTGCGTCGTGTTTCGCACTGGAACACACCGCAAAGACTTCAGCCGACGGCCAAGTTGCACGTACGAACTGCGCATGCGTGAGTGGCAATAACTGTCCTTACCAGCAGGCGGCGGTAGTGTGTATTCGTCATTCAAAAGAGGCAACAACCGGAAGACAGACTGCGTGATATTAACAAACAACAAATAGCGTGTGCGTTCCATGTTCACTCTACAGCGAGAAGCTCATGGGGCTTTCCCGAACCTGTGTCGAGAGCTGGAGTTAAATGAAATCTCAGATTTGCCTTCTTAATAGTTTCTTTGGGTCCCTCACTTCCGTTTCACTTCTCATGCACTGAGTCGCTAAGCTGAACAGCCAATCAGAGGCGTGTGGCGCAGTGGGTTGTGCGTAGGTGTTGGGATCAGGGGGTCACAGGTTCAAACCCCACTGCAGTCAGCATGTCGTTGTGTCCCTGAGACACTTCACCCCAAATTGCTCCTGTGGGGATTGTCCACAGTATTGAGTATGTAAGTCGCTTTGGATAAAAGCGTCTAACAAGTGACATGTCATGTAATGTAATGATTTCTTTAGCCGACGGCCTCCCAATTCGACATGTCGAATCGGCGGAGGCACGGCCGAAAAGACACGGCGGTGCAGTACACACCAATCTGAGTAGGGCGACACGCTCATCGACGGCCTGACATCGATCGACGCCGAAAATCGGCTCGGTGTGTAAGGACCTTAAGATGTCCCGCCCCTTAGCCTATTACGTACAAAGTGTTGGAGTAAACAAAGGAGTCCAATGCAGGCGTTTCAGCCTTCATTTGAGCCTTTGTAGACCATTGACATGCACAGAAACTGATATAAAGCATTACATTGAATCTTAATGGAAGAATCCTCCATCCAATTTCAATGACAAATGATTCTATAAATAAAAATTGAACGAAAACTAAAAATGCTATTAATAAGTAACTGCGTTTTAATACACTTAGATATGATTCCCCTTGCAATGCAGTCTAAGTGAATCTGGACCTGAGAGTATAGATAGTTAGTGGATGTTTTACGTGTTGCTCTGGTAATAAGAGCTTACAAATAAAAGATGAAACACCCTGAACCGAGTTTAAAAGATTAAAAGAAACCCAAGTGTATTGTTAACAGACCCGCTTTGCAAGGTGCAGAGACTCCAAATGCATAATGTGCAAACAACTTTGACAAACTGAACTGTGGCTTACAGAGGAAATGGCGTTTCCAGAGATTATTATGGGATGGCTGACTACATGGAGCTGTTGGCTAACATATAGTCTGACTGCAAGGAGCGCAACGACCTAACAACACATGACTAAGTAATAAAATGTTATCTGTTATTGTCCATTTAGTCCGTAGATTATTTTAGTTTTTTTTTTTTTTTTTACCCAAGGATGGCACACGATGACATACGGGCTGGTAAGAGAGTGTGTGTGTGTGTGTGTGTGTGTGTGTGTGAGAGTGTGTATCATCTGTGGGTGAGAGTATGTGTGTCTGATCTTATTATTTGTGTGGTGTGTGTGTGTGTGTGTGTGTGTGTGTGTGGGGGGGTTTGTCTGTGTATATACTAAATGTACGTGTGGTTTATCTGTGTGTATTAGGTGTGTATTATCTTATTATTTGTGTGGTGTGTGTATGTCTATGTGTGTTTTTGTCTGTGTATGTACTACATTTATGTGTGGTTTATCTGTGCGTGTGTGTGTGTCTTTGTCTCCGTGTGCGTGTGCGTGTGCGTGTGCGTGTGCGTGTGCGTGTGTGTGTAACCAGAGTCTGCATGTAGATAGTTCTTCATGTGTTGTGTGATGAATTGTAGACTGTAGTATTCCAGTGCTGTACAGAATGGGTTGGCATGCATTCAGGGGAAAAAATGCATGCATGTTGGGGAGGAAAGACTCGACTCCCGATCCATGCTGCAAAGCTCCAGCTCCAGGTTTTGGCTCAGACATTAAAACATCAAAATCTTAATCCAGCAGTAAGTCAGGCAGTCTCTGCTGCTGCGTCACATGTCTTCTGTCCCCCCCACCTCCTCAGTTTCCTACGTTCATGAGAAATGTAGACGCCTCCAGATTCAAAATGTTTTCTTCAAAAGGATATTCTGAACCAACGCACAGAGCTTGTTTGAAAGGTGTTAATGCAACAAGTAACTGAATGCAATTGTTCGACTTAAGGAAGATGGAGAGGAAATAAAAAGGAAATCCTCCACACCCACGTCGTCGTGCTGCTGGCTTCTGATGTAAACGTCACAAATAGCATCAAATTCCACATCCCCAAAAACCCTGTTAGTTTTTCTTTTTTGGAGGAAAACTCCAAGACAAGTTAAAGGGGAAGAAATGTAAAAAGGAAAGGCTCCAAACGTCCGAAATGGAGGGTGACGCAGGAGACGTTTAAAACCAGTCCTGGTGTTGAGAGCGGATAAATGATGTATCTAGCCCTCTGTTGGTGCCATCTTGAAGCCCAGTGTCACATCCTTAGTGGGTGTAATGGGAGGTTAAGAACAGATAAGTACCAGGAATGTTTTGCCAAGCCGAGCCCAGGATGATTCAAACTGTTGGCGAAAAAATCACATCTGAGCCAGGTGAGAGGCTGGAAGTGGAAACGGGACTTAAGAGATTTTCAGAGCCCATGCAGAAGTTTAATTTGAATACTCCTCCATAACTTGAGTTCCATGGAGGGGGCCGAGTGGCTTTCAGAGCCCACCTTTACGGGTGTTGTCTGGTGGGTGGATCAGGCTGGTGGAGAGGTCAGGATGGAGGTGAGGGTCTGGATGGTGGATCGGATGTGGATCATAGGCGGGGGGTCCAAAGGCTAAAAAAGGGAGAGAATCCAGGGGTCAGACTGAGAGTCAAACAGCAACTGTATAAAGGAATTTGCATGTCCTTTTTTTTTAATGTTTATTTTATTATCTTTGCTTTTTAATGACTGTTTTTAAATCAGAATCCCTTTATTAGTCCCACAGAGGGGACATTTACATTTGTTACAGCAGAAAAGAGCCAAAGACAGCTTTATGTTAACTAAGAAGCATGCATACAAAACATATTAAAGATTAAAAAAATACACAATGTACAAAATACACATCCTGTAACAGTTCTGAGGATTTAGCAGCCAGGTATATATAGAGAGGCGAAGTCCCGCCCATCTACTTCCGACCCATGGGACCTTATTTCGGAAACAGTATGTACTGAAGTCAATGGGGAGAGAAAGATTATCTTTCGATCCCGTTTGAATTGTGCCATGAATTACACATATGATGTTTGTCAATCTTAACAAATAATTTCCATGTCAAAAAAGTCACAGTTTGTCGTAAAACTGTTGAAATATAAGACTATGAAAAATACGCAACTAGAAAGACTACAAATCCCAGAGTCCCGGTCCCGCATGCTGGCTCTTATGAACCGACTCACTCCCCTTGTGTGTATGTACAGCTCTCAACATGCCCAGACTTGGAGTGATTTTCACCTCTTTTTATACTTTCCGCCTCATTCTGAAAGAAAGAAGTGAAATGTGCCAACGTGACGGCCGTCTTGGTGTGTGGTGCGAGACGGGAGATGTAGTTCATTGAGCGGTTTCACACCAAAAAAAGTGTTACTTCACAGTTTTACGACATTTTTATTTTTTTGACTTGCAAAATTATCTTTTAAATTGACAAACATCATATGTGTAATTCGTGGCACAATTCAAACGGGGTCGAAAGATCAGCAGTAAAGCACTTTGAATGGCCTTGTGTTGAAAGGTGCTATATAAATAAACTTGCCTTGACACAAAAAATAGTTTTCTTTGATATACTTGTCTGATGCTTTCCATGCATATAAACAAATAAGCATTCGCAGTATGTTACCGACCTGCTTCCGCTAGTCGAGGCTCTTCAGCACGGTCACTTTCCTGAGGGAGAAAAGCAAAGAACATTACCTTACAATATCTCATCATACAGTACTAACGTAAAACAGATACGGTTTTAAGCGGTGAATTAGCCCAAACACTCCACTATGATATGTATTAATCATATTCTAATATCAAGTGTTTATGTATGTATTATATTCTTTTTTTTCTGTGTGAATGTAATTTGTTGTCAAATAATGAATATTGCTGCGTTTCTTGAATAAAATCTGTATTAAAAAAAATGTATGCATAAAAGCTAACAAATTACAAACCATTTTAGACTCAAAGAGAAGTAGTTAGTACAAGATGCTGCACTCAATACATCAAAGCACAGCCAATTATTCTGCCATGCTTATTTTCTGGCAGCAGTTCATGCAAGCAGCACAATGACATGTTGACGACAAGCACATGGAGACAACATGCATGTACGAGACGACTTGAGGAGATGAGGGACAATGAGGGCGGTGTTGTTATGGATGAGTGAAGCAGCAGCGATGATGAGCCACGAACATCGAGACAGACGAGCAAAACAAAACGGATGAAGACGACGACGACGTGACACTTAAAGGTCCCCTATTATACTGTTTTCCATCAATATATCACAGGTCTCAGATATATAAAGAACATGTCTCTGATTGGCTGAAACACCAAACAGATCATTGCAGCATCCCATAATCCCCTCTGTTTCAGCCCTGTTTCCAAAGTGCTGATTCTCTGTCTGTTACTTTAGATGAAAATAAGGAGCCCCTCCCCACGCCCCTCTGAGAGACATTTGGTTACAAAGAACTCAATGGTGCTCTAGGAGGAGATTCAGGTGATAAGGTGTGGGGGGGGGGGGGTTACCTTGGTTGGTGATTGGCTAATGGTTACACAAGCCAACACATCGTTATGACATCATAAAGTGGCCAAAATCTGATCAGCTCATTTTCAGACAGGTTTTTATATAAATGGATCAGGACAAAAAGAGAGAGAATCTTTTGTCCTGAAACTTTCAGAGTCTCTTTCCACAGAGGGGACACATGTTGATGAAGAAGAGACATGAAGAAGAGGGGACACATGTTGATGTAGAAGAGACATGAAGAAGAGGGGACACATGTTGATGTAGAAGAGACATGAAAAAGAGGGGACACATGTTGATGTAGAAGAGACATGAAGAAGAGGGGACACATGTTGATGTAGAAGAGACATGAGGAAGAGGGGACACATGTTGATGTAGAAGAGACATGAAGAAGAGGGGACACATGTTGATGAAGAAGAGACATGAAGAAGAGGGGACACATGTTGATGTGGAAGAGACATGGAGAAGTGGATTTTGCATAATAGGTGACCTTTAAATTAGACGAGGCGGCTCTTACGAGTCATTTGGACTCTGGGAGGGTCTCTCCGGGGTTTTCCTCCCCCGCTGCACTGGGTGAGGTTTGGGACTCGGGGGGAGGCATGGGCATCGGCAGAGGGATGGGCTGACTCTGGCCCTCTGCACTTTCTGGATCCAGATTCGATTTAGGCTGGCTTATGATTACTGTGTAACCTGTTTGGGAGGGGAGCATGAAAACAAGGAATCCTGCAGCGTGAGAGCAAGTTGAAAATCACTGGTGGATTTGTAAACATACCTGTCTGTACCGACTACCCAGGGAAAGGTCAAATATTTAAATGAATGTCTGTGGCCGTTTCTCAATCGCAAGGAAACTGGCTTCCAAGCCAATATTTCAAGGATGCTACGTCATCGAGTGCCGCCGAAGGACTGTTCCAATCTCCAGCATACTTGGAATTCCACCGAGGCCGCGTCCTTGGTTTGAGGGACATTTCGAGGCTGCACATGGGTAGACTTCGCGTCCTTAAAATCCCCACAATGCTTTGCGCATGGACCAATTTCCCCAAATCTGTGGCGGAAGATGTAAGGCGGGGCCTCTCATATGACGCACACCTGCACACTTGCTAGCCTGTTCCACTCTTTGTTTTCTGAATGCCAGGAAGTATTCTTGCCTCGCTTCTGAAGCAAGATGCTCGGCTCGGCTACCAAGCAAGCATCCTCGCGATTGAGAAACGGCCTGTATTTATGTATAATTTGCCAAGACTTAGAAGGAAAGGGGTAATGTATGTATGTATGTATGTATGTATGTATGTATGTATGTATGTATGGTGTGTGTGTGTGTGTGTGTGTATGTTGTGTGTTTGTGTGTGTATGTATGTGTGTGTGTGTGTATGTATGTGTGTGTGTTGTGTGTGTGTGTGTGTGTATGTATGTGTGTGTGTGTGTGTGTGTGTGTGTGTGTGTGTTTGTGTGAGCAATAACGTGTAGATTTGAGTGGACTGTAAACTGAGGCGGGTGTGATTTCTATGTACATCTCCATGTATGTTATATATTTGTGGAATAAAAAAAAAGTTATACAAAAAGAAAAATCACTGGTGGAGTTATAGACAGCTTTAAAGGTTGGTTGTCGTTTAACTTCTTTAGACTGATGTTCCCACAGACGCTGTTTCAACATGATTAGACATGAAGAAAGTAACTGAGGGTTTAAAGCAAAGTCATGTGACTTTTGAAAGAGCAAATCATCTGTAAAGTATTCATTTGTACCAAAAAGAAGCACCTTTACTGTATTCACTGTCTAATCTCCGACCAAGAGAACAGCTTTTTCTTAATGAAACAGTAAGGAGAAGAGGGACGTCTAGAACAAAAGTTGCAAAATTAAATGTATTTGACTCATCTCGGTGCTATTCCTTCATTATGCAATTTTTTTGACAATGAAAGCCATGTTAAATAGTGAGTGGCTGTAAGTCTGCATCAAATCCCATTTCTATTTTGCACTCCACTCCACCGCAAAGCTAAAGGCGGCTAATATACGGCTTGACGACATTTAGCAGTTTCATTTTGATACTTGTTAGCATGCGCCGTCTTTTAAGACACATAGTAGCTTCAGACATTCACCAGTGGAGCATTTACTGACGTATTTAATGTCATAGAACAAGACGTAAATATCCTTTTAGCTTGTGTTAACCACCGACCTTATTTCAGGCATCTAACCTTCACGCATTGACTTTGATGTGAGGGAACAGGAAGTGCTAAAATGCTAATTCTGCACATCTCTATAGTGTGACAGTTTTCCTAAGCATCAGGGTCACGTGACGACCTCTCACCTCCGTCCTGCTCCGCCTTGATCTGAGCCTCCAGGTCTTCGGGGTTGACGTACTGGTAGCTTTCTTCGTCGTCGGGCGGTTTACATTTCCCGCAGCAGAAACAGCAGCAGCAGCAACAGCAGCAGCAGGAGAACATCGTGCAGCACAGAACCATACCCTGCAGGAGGGAACCAGCGTCAAGGACATTTAAAAGCATGTTTTCATTCATTAGGTTTGTTTGGAGTTATTTTACGCCTATATATGTTATTTTTTTGTATAATTAAAATATTTTAACAGGATGAGTGAGGGTAAAATGACATTCAAGATTTCATGACACCAAGAAATTAAGTGGCTACAAAATGTGACTTAAAGTGGACCTATCATGCTATATTTGAATAATATAGTGTAGGACCATACCTATATAAGGCATATTTATACTTTTTTTTTTTCAAAATACCAAACAGATCATGCATTTGAGCCATGCCTCATTTTGCTCAATTTGACATTTTTTATCCCTGTTTTAGCAAGGGCAGATTCTGTGAGAACAGCACCACCTACTGGCCTGGCATATGTACTACAGCGTCTCCAGCGCTTTCGAACGGCAATGGCCGTGGCTGTCTCCTCCTGATTGGTGGAGTTGGCCCAATAGCCGTAGCGCCACCGTCCTGACGTCAGGACAGTGTTCAAATCTGGATCAGTTTTTATCAGATCCGTTGCAGCCCCTTTTTTAGAGATTTGGGTATGGAGGAAAATAGAGAGGGTTGTGTTTTCTGACACTTGGTGAGTTCCCTGGAACACCGGGGACACATATTCATGTATAAAAGACGTACAAAAGTGTATTTTGCATGATAGGTCCCCTTTGAATTAGATACTACCAATTAATACTTCATCCCCCACTCATTTTGGAAAAGGCAGACGATTGGTGAAAACTGAATTTGGATGCTTTTGACAGCCAATTTTGTTTATTTTATTTTATAACAATTCCAAAAGGCATGAATAAGGGAGTCATACGCCTATTTATGTTCATGCATTGAGTGTTTTTCTATCTTTTTTACATCGGAAAAATAATTGAATGAAAAAAAATAAAGAAATACAATAAAAAAAAACATTTTAAATTAAAAGACAATTTTAAAAGTAAAAAGTCTGCCATGTGACAGCAAACGGTAGGGTGTCAGAAGACTGTCGATAAATCCAAATGACTGTATTAACGTTGTGTAAACCTAAATTATGTACGTTTATTTCATTATTTTGTAACTTCCCTGGCATATTAATGACTCAGAGCTTTGTGGGGAAAATAAGGTATTTCATAATCTTAATAAATAACTGTTTTATCCGTCTTTGACACAGGGTAAATTAAAAGATAAAAGGAATTGTGAAATATATTAATTAGATTCTGACTTTTTTTTTTTTAAACTAATCTTGCAGAGCCAATATAAAGTAAGGATTAACCCTCCAAGCCCGTTAACCAACGTTACTTGTTGTCACCTATATGCATTGAGTAGTAGTTTTAAAGGTCCCCTATTATACTGTTCTTCATCAATATGTTACAGGTCTCAGATATATACAGAACCTGTCTCTGATTGGCTGAAACACCAAACAGATCATTGCAGCATCCCATAATCCCCTCTGTTTCAGCCCTGTTTCCAAAGTGCTGATTCTCTGTCTGTTACTTTAGATGAAAATAAGGAGCCCCTCCCCACGCCCCTCTGAGAGAGATTTGGTTACAAAGAACTCAATGGTGCTCTAGGAGGAGATTCAGGTGATACGGTGGGGGGGGGTTACCTTGGTTGCTGATTGGCTAATGGTTACTCAAGACAAAACATCGTGGCCAAAATCTGATCAGCTCATTTTCAGACAGGTTTTTATAGAAATGGATCAGGACAAAAAGAGAGACAATCTTTGTTCCTGAAACTTTCAGAGTCTCTTTACACAGAGGAGACACATAATAGGTCCCCTTTAAACATCCTTATAGATTGTGAACGCACCTTGAACCACCATTTGGACATGAGGAAGTAATATTTGACGCTCTCCTCTCCGAACTGCTCCGACACGTACAGGCCCATGGAGCCGTACTCGTTGTAGATCTTCCTCTTCGTCTCATCGTTCAGGATCGAGTTGGCGTTGTTGATCTCCTTAAACTTCTCCGCTGCGTCCGGGTTGTCGGGGTTTTTATCCGGGTGGTACTTCAGAGCTAGTTTCCTGATGTGGGAGAAGAAGAAGAGTGGAAAGGAAATGAAATGATGAGACGTGAAACGAAGGAAGATCTGGAACTTTTAAGGATATTTTCATCTTCAATTTATGATTGGATAGTAAATAGTTAACTGTGTACCAAATATATAGATAGGTATGTAGGTAGGTAGGTAGGTAGGTAGGTAGGTAGGTAGGTAGGTAGGTAGGTAGGTAGGTAGGTAGGTAGGTAGGTAGGTAGGTAGGTAGGTAGGTAGGTAGGTAGGTAGGTAGGTAGGTAGGTAGGTAGGTAGGTAGGTAGGTAGGTAGATTATATGGACAACAACATAATAAAACAATGTGAAAGTTAGAATATTAAAGTTGAACTGAATTGATGATTGATGTCGGGAATTTTCCAAAACATTTGGGAACAGGATTAGATACAGATTTAGTAAATGAAGACAGCATATAGTAAAATAAAAAATTACAATATAGTTGGCCTGTGTTCTCTGGAGACACAAATACCTTCTGAGGAGACATTTTAATTATAGTACTAATTCACATTTAACTGTATTGTAATATTATATTTGAACTGAACTATGTATTATTTTATTGACCTGTACTCAAACCACGTTTTATAATTGTTTGTGTGATAGAGATGATGCAATGTTTTTAGTGTTTGTTGATTGTTGTGTACCTGCCTAAGGACTGCAGATGGAAATGAGCTATTAGCTGAAATCTGGCATAATTCATCTCTTCTCTTTTCTGAGATGAATGTATTTGTCATGGTGCATGGTCCTTGTTGAAATAAATACATAATAATACGATTTCTGTGTGACCAGACGTTACCTGTATGCTTTCTTTATGTCTTCAGCTGTGGCTCCTTTCTCCAGCCCGAGCACTTTGTACACACTCTCCCCAGCGGTGGACATCTTCCTCTGGGGGCGGGGGGCAGTCGGTTCAGCCATGGCTCACCTCTAAGATTACATAAAAGAATATACAGTCAAGTTATGAAATGTTGCAGAAGGATTAGAGACAAAATACTGCATTTTTTAACCGCCATGTTGCACAGCTTAACATCCATCCCAAAACACTGCCAGAGAGGGCAAAAGTACACACATCCTTTACTCAAGTAGAAGTACAGACACTCGTGTTTAAAAATACTCTGGTGAAAGTAGAAGTACTGACTAAAACTTCTTTACTCAAGTAAAAGTAAAGAGGGCTTTGAAATGTACTTCAGTAAAAAGTACCCATAACTAGCAGCTGTTTTAAAGAGTACCTGACCTCCCTTTATATTAATAGAACAATAATGTCATTGTTAGCTAATGAATGTTTCCATGCTGAACAACGGCAACATGACAACGTTTTCATTGGTCCCTCTTCTTTAGAGAAGACCAGGAAATGATGGATACACGGATCGTGTTCAAATCAATAGGCACGCAATGACTCTAAATAATAATGATCACGCCACCAAACACACATTCAAACTAAAGGAACCAGCCTGTTTGGGAAATGTGAGAAGTAGAAAGTACAGGTATTTGGGTTCAACATGTAAGAAGTAGAAAGTACAGGTATTTGTGTTCAACATGTAAGAAGTAGAAAGTACAGGTATTTGGGTTCAACATGTAAGAAGTAGAAAGTACAGGTATTTGTGTTCAACATGTAAGAAGTAGAAAGTACAGGTACTTGTGTTCAACATGTAAGAAGTAGAAAGTACAGGTATTTGGGTTCAAAATGTGAGAAGTAGAAAGTACAGGTATTTGTGTTCAACATGTAAGAAGTAGAAAGTACAGGTATTTGTGTTCAACATGTAAGAAGTAGAAAGTACAGGTATTTGTGTTCAACATGTAAGAAGTAGAAAGTACAGGTATTTGTGTTCAAAATGTAAGAAGTAGAAAGTACAGGTATTTGGGTTCAAAATGTAAGAAGTAGAAAGTACAGGTATTTGTGTTCAATATGTAAGAAGTAGAAAGTACAGGTATTTGTGTTCAACATGTAAGAAGTAGAAAGTACAGGTATTTGTGTTCAACATGTAAGAAGTAGAAAGTACAGGTATTTGTGTTCAAAATGTAAGAAGTAGAAAGTACAGGTATTTGTGTTCAACATGTAAGAAGTAGAAAGTACAGGTATTTGTGTTCAACATGTAAGAAGTAGAAAGTACAGGTATTTGTGTTCAAAATGTAAGAAGTAGAAAGTACAGGTATTTGTGTTCAAAATGTAAGAAGTAGAAAGTACAGGTATTTGTGTTCAAAATGTAAGAAGTAGAAAGTACAGGTATTTGTGTTCAAAATGTAAGAAGTAGAAAGTACAGGTATTTGTGTTCAAAATGTAAGAAGTAGAAAGTACAGGTATTTGTGTTCAACATGTAAGAAGTAGAAAGTACAGGTATTTGTGTTCAACATGTAAGAAGTAGAAAGTACAGGTATTTGTGTTCAACATGTAAGAAGTAGAAAGTACAGGTATTTGTGTTCAACATGTAAGAAGTAGAAAGTACAGGTATTTGTATTCAAAATGTAAGAAGTAGAAAGTACAGGTATTTGTATTCAAAATGTAAGAAGTCAAAGTAAAAAGTTGTCAGAAAAGTAAGGAGTGGAGTCAACTTCCTGTTTCTGTTGTTTATTAAAGTAGCAGCTCAGCTTGTGTGTAATGTTGCAGCACGTCGCGAGAAACTCAATTTGACAGATTAACAGAAATAGTCAAATGTTCAGAAGTTGTAAAGTGACACTGAGGGAAGAGTCAGGTGTGGAAGGATAACGCTTGTTCTCCTTTGTGTCGGCTCATTTGTTTATATGCAAATATCATGCCATGTCCATCTTTAAAGACAAGTGTACAATGCTTTTTAACTTGTGGTGCAGACTAATAATTACAGTAAATGTTCATTAGCTTGGATTTCCCTGAAATAGTGTCATAATTACTATATACACCATTTCTATTCATCTTTGGCCACTGTTCAAACACACACACTGACTCGGACTCAGCCTCACAAATAATGCCGTCAGTGTCTCTGAGGAAAGAAGATTACATTTTGCTGATCTTACAGATTAACCGTGTCAACGACGGGCCACACACACACACACACACACACACACACACACACACACACACACACACACACACACACACACACACACACACCACACAACTACCACACACACACACACACACACACACACACACACACACACACACACACCACACACACACACACACACACACACACACACACACACACACACACACACACACACACACACACACCACACACACACACACACACCACACACACACACACACACACCACACACACACACACACACACACACACACACACACACACACACACACACACACACACACACACACACACACACACACACACACACACACACACACACACACACACAGACACACATATAGAGAGAGAGAGAGAGTATAGACAGGTAGAGGGAATGATACTGCACCAGCTGTCATGTTACTATGAAGCAGCTTTAAATCATAATGCTTACATCACAAACTGCTGTGAGTTATATACTAGGTTTGATTTCTTTATATCGTCAACATTACACCATTCATTATAGCCATTTCCACTATTGGTAAATCTGACAATTTGTAAATAATGTACATAGACATTTTTCCATCATCTGTAGAATAAATAATCAAAGAAATCTCCTGACAAAAGACAATTTGAGTTATATTCACTTCTAGCCAAAGGTGTGTAGTCTCCATTAGGTGCACGACTTTTATATTTCAGTTAAAAACCAAGATTGAATAAAATACAACAGGAGCCAAGCATTTCCTGAAAACTGCTTTGAGTTCAGAGGAAAAGCATTTTCTGCTGGTCAAATGAAATGGTTATCTACTGTAATGGTTTAAAAGACGGACTTTGAAAAGATCATAGCAACTATAAGAGGTAGTATCCATAACAGCATCAACAGTGCTTTATCCGCCTTAACTTTCAGCTTGCACTCGGTTTATCTTGTTTATCAGAACTAGGGTTGGGAACCGAAACTCGGTTCCAGATGAGAACCGATAAGAAACTGCCGGGTACCGGGTACCCATACAAAATACACAATTTTGGTTCTGCTTAACGGTTCCTAAACGCGGTAGACCCTGTATTCCACCGGGTCCGTCTGCGCCGCGGCGACCCGGTGGAATACAGGGTAACCCTTTAGTATTGCAAAGAAAGCCTACATATCGGCACCGACGTAGGCTAAGGCTACGTAGCTATCGGTAAGGACCTGTAGTAACGTGACGACGACGTCACGCATCAACGGAACAGCAGCGTGTGGTTTGATTTGTTTAGATACCAGCATGCACGGCTCCGTCACTTCATAACACCAAAGATGGATAGCTGTTGTGTAATACATTTGTATTGCATGTATTATTTTTATTTGTAAAAATGTCAGTTAAAGCTTAAAAGAATAAAGATATTTTTGTTATCTAATTTGACCTCTTTCTTTTACAATTCTGGAATGGAAACGGGGAATCGATAAGAATCGGAATCGATAAACAGAATCGGAATCGATACATTTCAGACGATACCCATCCATAGAGACATGTCCCAGTAGAGACACTACATACCGATATACACCTGAACATTTACATAATATGTCCTCTTTAATAGTAGGATTGCATAGAGGATGTATGATTTTGAACTGTGGTTAGTTTCATAAGCAGGTTAAAAATGGCTACACCCTGATATCAACAGAGATAATTCACTTGCAAGAAAAACACAACCCTTCATGAAGTGCACAAAACAAGACGATCGCTGCAAACATGAGATAAAAAAAGGCCAATATTCCTCCCAGCGATGGACACGCTGCCGGCCCAGATGGCATGCCGGCTGAAGCCAAGAAAGCTGATGCAAATACTCAAAATTCTCCCAAAATGCTGCACAAAGCACGGAGCCGCCGTGTCAGGAAAGAGCAGTTTAACATGGACCTTGAATTTACACTTAAACATTCAAGACCACCAGGAAGTAATAGGATCGATCTGCAGCTCATAGTGAGGGGTCGATGTTATGCCAGGTCTATTAGGTTAATTAGCTAACTGCAGTATTTCTGGTGCAGACTTCTATAAAACGCCTCTGTATGTTTGCAAGTGGTTCATTTATCACGCTAACAGCACTGATAAGATGTGAAAATGAAGCATAACTCAAGACACGAAGCGCTGGTACAGTCACAAAGACTACAGACACACAGGAGTCTTTTATCTGTTATCTTCCTTCCCAGAGATTGACTGTGACTCTTTTGTACTTCAAGGTTTTGTGAAGTGCAGATATTCATCTAACTTTAGCTGCTACTTTGAAGCAGAAAGGCTGTCGGCTGAGAGAGAAAAGCAGAAGACGAGGGAGGGAAAGTGCATCCGTGTGTGCTGCAAAGATTATATCAATTAGCAGGTTTCATTTCATCTTCAAGAAATACATTGGCTTGCAATAATCAGGATGTTTAAATAACATGTTTTATATATTTCAAAATGTAAACTCTAAAACTTGAACCTATATGATATATAAACCAAATATCATATGGTAAAGGAAAAAGTAGGGCTGTGCGATTATGGCAAAAATCCTAATCACGATTATTTTGGTCAATAATTGATATCACGATTATTAAAAACGATTATCCATTTACTTTGAAAACATCCATTTATTGAAACAAAAATGTGAACAGTATGTTTTTAACAGTTGATTACCCTGAACTTTAAGTATAATTCAACTGAAACACCAAAAAAATAAAAAATAAAAAATAATAATAATTACATTTTTTTTTTTTTATAAAAATAATCGTTTTATTTCATTTACGTTGTTTTCGTAATCGTTGCAAGCCAAAATCGTAATCGAGATTAAAATACGATTAATTGCACAGCCCTAGGAAAAAGCCTAATGCATTTGGTAAAATCTGAAAAACTGCATTAGCAAATATGATTGATAAATAAACCCTTACCAATAGCGAAAGACACTTAAAAAGATATTTGGTCA